GATCATACTCTGTTTGTGAAACATTCCTCTCATGGTAAGTGATGTAGACCGAAAGGTACCACATTGAGGCCGCTTAAAGTACATTTATAGTCTTTGAATTTTATCTATTTGGCAAAGATGATGTGTTTTGTGCACTTACAGATTTGGAAGACAACACGCAAATTTAGGTGAAAAGTGGCACAAAGGAAGATTCTCCGCGCAAGAAGTGAAAATGCTCGGCCTGCTACCTCACCGCAAGTGCGGCCCACCACCGCTCGAGCAGAAATTGTAGGCGCTTGAGCGGCCCACATAGAGACCATGTGCAGAATTTCAAGTTTGTTTGACTGTGAAGAAAAAGAGACTACTCTAGGGTTTCGAAAATTCGAAAAGAGAGGAGGGGCTAGGGTTTGGAAAAGAGGGTTCTCAAGTTTCAAGAACATCTTCCATGGGGGTTTCTTCTTCTTTTACCTCTTCCCACTCCTCCATGAGTGGCTAGGCTTCTATTTTTAGGGTTTTGATGAAACCCTAGCCAAGAAAATACGGTTTTCTTTTTGGTTTTTGATTATGTAATGGTTTAAACAAATTGTATGGTATTCAAGAAGTGTTTAAATATATTTTCCATTATTTCTTCAAGTATTCTTCTTTCTGTGATTGTTGAATGCTTTCCATGCAATGATTTTCTATTATTTTATATTTAAGGTATGAGACGAGCCATACTATGAGGGACAAGTTGTTTTGCTACCATAGTTCAAAGCGAATGACTCGTGCTACTTGAGATGGTTCGTGCCTATACATTGAACGTGATAATTCTCTTGGTCAATGCTTCGAGCTTGTAGTTGCGAGGTATTATTAGGTTCAAACCGTAACATAATTGATTTTCAAATTGAGACCTTATTGTTGGAAATTTGTGTTAATGCATATAATAAGATAGTGGCATATGATAGTGGTGTTGGTGGTAGATAGTGGCATGTATAGAATATGATAGTGGTGTTGGTGGTAGATAATGGCATGTATAGAATATGATAGTGGTGTTGGTGGTAGATAATGGCATGTATAGAATATGATAGTGGTGTTGGTGGTAGATAATGGCATGTATAGAATATGATAGTGGTGTTGGTGGTAGATAATGGCATGTATAGAATATGATAGCCCAAAATCAATAATCCCAATTTTGCTTTTAATTGCTAGGTTAAATTCTTAGTTTATTTTAGTTATTATTAGTTTATGAATCATCATCTTTTTAATCAAAGTTAAATTAGGAATTTAACAATTAAATTAGTTTAATTTCACATTTGTCCCTGTGGACCGATACCTGGACTTACCATTATTCTAAGGAATTTGGTACAGTTTAGTGTTTATTTTTGGTGTATAAAACGACCAATCAGTAAGACTACATCTCTCATTGTATATGTGGATAACATAGTGCTTGCAAGAGATGATGTAGAGAAAATCCCTTTGTTGAAAAAGTATTTGGCCAGCGAATTTGAAATCAAAGACTTGGGGAACTTGAAGTACTTTTTGGGGATTGAAGCGGCTAGGTCCAAAGATGGGATTTTTATCTGTCAGAGAAAATATGTCCTTGACCTGTTGAAAGAAACATGGATGCTTGGAAGTAAAGCTTGTAACGCACCATTAGAACCTAATCAGAAATTTTGTGATGATAGTGGGGCAGCAGCCGTTGATAGGGGGAGTTATCAGAGATTAGTGGATAAGCTCATTCACTTATCCCATTCTCGTCCTAATATTGCCATTGCCGTTAGTATGGTTACACAATTCATGCATGCTCCTCATGAAATACACTTAGCGACAGTTATGAGAATTTTGAGATATTTGAAATCGTCTCCTAGAAAAGGTTTTTGTTTTTCCAAACATGATCATCTTAATGTGGAAGCTTATACGGATGGTGATTAGGCAGGATTAATAACTAATAGGAGATCCACTTCAGGGTATTGTACCTTTGTTGGAGGCAATTTGGTTACTTGGAGGAGTAAGAAACAGAATGTGGTTGCCAAGTCTAGTGCAAAAGCTGAGTTTAGAGTTATGGCACAAGGTGTGTGTGAGCTCTTGTGGATCAAGTTGTTATTGCATGATCTGGGAATTGACCAGAAAAACTCCATGCGATTATATTGTGATAATAAGGCTGCCATCAACATAGCTCACAATTCGGTTCAACATGACAGGACAAAGTATGTTGAGATTGATCGTCACTTCATCAAAGAGAAGCTCACTAGTGGCACAATATGTACTCCATTTGTGAAGTTTAGTGAACAACTTGCAAATATCCTCACCAAGGGAGTTGGGAGTAAACCATCTCATGATATTCTTGGCAAGCTGGGCATGAGAGAGATCTTTGCACCAACTTGAGGGGGAGTGTTAGAATATATGTTAGAATCAAATATGTTAGAATCATTCTATTATTTGTTTCCTCATTTAGATTATATTGTGATTCCTTAATTAGTGGTTTAGGGCCTCCTTTGTTACAGTTTTGGATGATTAATATAAAAGGGAGTGATATCATGATCATTCCCTAAGTTTTCTCTCAAACAAACAAAAATGTCACTAATTATAAGTTTTAGCGACAATTTAAAAAAATCATCATGAAAAAATGTCACTAATTTTCCACTTACAGTGACAGTTTGAAAATTTTATCACAGAAAAACGTCACTAATTGTAAGTTTTAGCGACAATTTATAAAAACCGTAATTAAAAAAAAAGTCATTAATTGTCAATTTTTAGCGATATGCAAAAAATGTCACAATTATTTTTTAGTGATGATTTTACTAGGACTTATTTTCAATAGGACTTGATGGAAATTAAATCTAACTATTAAGACCTATTGGTAGTTTACCCTGGAAAGAATCTATCAACGATCCTAAGTGGAAAGTAACTATGGTAGAGAAGATGCAAGCTCTTAGCAAGAATAGCACTTGGGAGTTGGTTCTTCTTCCTAGTGGAAAAAAACCAGTGGGGTGTAAGTGGGTGTTCACCATTAAGCAAAAAGCAGATGGGACAATTGAACAGTACAAAGTAAGACCACTGGCCAAGGGATTTACCTAGAAGTATGGCAATGATTATCAAGAAACCTTTGCTCCTGTAGCAAAAATGAATTCCATTCAAGCCCTTCTTTCATGTGCTACTAATTTGGGATGATCTTTACAACAACTAGATATGAAGAATGCATTTCTCTATGGTGATTTGGAGGAGGAGGAGGTATATATGGATACACCACCGGGATTCTCATCTTAGTCTACAGTTGGCAAAGTTTGCAAGTTGAAGAAGGCTCTATATGGTTTGAAATAGTCTCCTCGAACTTGGTTTGATTTGGGTATAAACAAAGCAACACAGATCACACCATGTTTGTCATATGTAGATGCCATAGGTTGGAATGATGAGGAAGAAGTGACACATCCTAACATGCAGTTGGCCAAAAAATTTGAGATCAATGACCTTGGCCTGTTGAGGTACTTTTTTGGGATTAAAGTTGCCATATTTGAAAAAAGGCATCTTTATTTCTCAAAGAAAGGACATTCTAGATCTTCTTGAGGAAACTGACATGTTAGGCTGCAAATCAGCTGATTCGCCCATTGAGGCTAATCATTATCTTTGCAGCAGTGTTGGTGATCTTGTAGAGAAGGAGAGGTACTAGAGACTTGTGGAAAGGCTTATATATCTATCCCACACTCATCCAGATATTGCTTATGCAGTCGGAATAGTGAATCGGTTTATGCATGATCCTCATGCAAAACGTTTGGATGTAGTGTATGGCATTTTAATGTACCTTAAATGAGTTCCGGGAAAAGGGATTTTATTTTCTAATCATGGTCACTTGAGGTTAAAGAGATTCATGGATGCAGACTGGGTGGGTTCTATATATGACAAATGATCTACCTCTGGTTGTTATGCTCTTGTGGGGGAAAATTTAGCCACCAAGCATAGTAAGAAGCAGACAGTAGTATCCAGGTCTAGTATAGAAGCAGAATACAAAGCTATGGAGCATGGTACTTGTGAACTTATGTGGCTTCTGTCCTTGTTGGGTGGTATAGGAATCGTTTGTGGTGAACCCATGATTCTGTATTATGACAACAAAGCTGCCATCAGTATTGCTCACAATCCTGTTCAGCATGATAGGACTAAGCATATTGAAATCGACAGATATTTTATTAATGGGAAATTTAATAGGAGTTTGATATGTATGCCTTATGTGAAGTCTGAAGATCAATTAGTCAACGTATTTACTAAAGGTCTTAGTATTAAGGTCTTTCACCCTATTTGTTGCAAGTTAGGTATGAGAGATATATTTTCATATTTCTTGGAAAAGAGTTCAAATTCTTATGATGGTTACAGAGTTACAAACAAGATAAAATGTACAGAAAGACCGAAAGTACCTCAAATGCAAATATTTTGTTTGATCAACATTTTAAAATTTTTTTGATCAGCAACATCAGATGCAAATATGATAGTTTACAAGAAAGCATGCTTCTATTGTTGAGCTTCGAACAAATACTTTGTTCTACAAGCTTAATTAAAAACATCTGCAATATGATGAGTAACTATGAAGGAATCCTTGGGCTGAAAAGGAAAAAGCAAAGGGGGAACAAAAATCTATTGACAAGCTTGCATTCCATTCCCCAACTTCAATGAGTATTGTTGTACCAAAATAGGTCTGTGGGAATTGGTCTTCACATTTCATAGTCATAGTCATTTGGTATTAGTGAAATCTACTTAGAATATTCATGCTTGTTTAAGTAGATCATGCAAAAACACCCATCTATTTACATTAGAACCTTACTACAAAGTCTTGATGGACATAAGGATGACTTAACCAATATAGATAGAATATTAATTTACATCAACGTTAAAAAAGGATCACTATCATATTTCAAGTGCAGCAATAGAAGTAGCATATTATTTCACATCAGCCTTTCATCCCATAAATGTATATTTTCGTATGTAATTCGCACCTTTTAGATTGAAAAAAAGTTGAAAAGTGGATATAATGTAACTACTATAGTCCCCAGTACCTTAGAGAGAGTTAATGGGGGAGGACATATTGTAGACCTAATCTTCAGCAAACATCTTTCTGACATATCTCTCACCCTTTTATCAATGCTGACAAGTCTTCTGTAGATTGGAGGAGCCCATATATTTGATGTATCTCTCATCTTTTCATTTAATTGAGTTGCTAACTTCATCACAGCCTATAATAATAGCAAAGAGTTAGCAGGCAACAGTGAAAATTTCAATTGAACACTTTGTCAAACAAGCAGAATTTAGCAGAATAGACCAAAGATGATATTTATTCCACTAACAAGAGGAATTTTCTCACTAGAATTTTTTATTATTTAGGCTCAACAACTGAGAAGATCCTACATCAACAATATCCAGGTAGAGATGTATCAATTTCAATAGTATGCCAGTTGACAGAAATAGTTGAATACTACAAAACCATGCCAAATATATAAAATCCAATCTCAAATGCATTTGTTCATAGCTAAAATGAGCATGAAAAATTTAACATAAAAATTGAAGAAGAGGAGCTTGAATACTCTTGGAAATGCTAATGCTTCTGCCTAGAACTCTAAATTATAACATTATCAGGGGGGATGGGGATAGAGTCCTGTCTTCTTTTGTTGTCAACTCAACTAATTCTTGTTCATGTCTACAACCAGGGAGAGAAGATGTCACTAGAGATGGATTAGTGCCTCAACTATCCATATAGAGTGATTTCACTAAGGATTTTCAGCCTTTAGCATTGATTAATGAGGAGTGTTATATGGATGATACTTCTTAGGGGGTCTCCAACAATCACATGATAGAAGGGAGTAGGGTTCTGGGAGAGAGCAAGGATGAGACAAAAAGATGGTTGAAAGAGATGAGTAACTATGTGCCTGTTTGCTAGCACTTAAAAGCAGCTTAGATAAACTTTTAGCTTAAATTAAGTTATTTTGGTGTGTTTGGTAAAACTTAAAGGGATAGATTATAGCTTTTATTAAGCTATTTTCAGCTTAAATTTGTAAGCACCTCAGGGGGTGCTTCTTGATTTCAGCTTATATGGTAAGCTGAAATGGGGGGGCGTAAAATGACTTAAATGTCCTTCCCAATTGATGCTAATTACAAGTGTGCCATGTATATAAACCAAGAACACTCATTCTTCCTCTCTCAGACAAATGGGAGAGGCGATTTCTGGGGAACTAGGTCGATTTCCGGCGACCGTGCTTTGTCTTCTCTCTCTCTCTCTCTCTCTCCCCAGTGTTCTCTGATCGCTCTCCATCACGATCTGAACCATCGCGATCGATAGCGTCAACCCTAGGTCTCTCTCTCTCTTCGTGATCGACGCCGGCGGTGAGATGAGAAAGAGGAGGAGAAGAAGGGGCTGCTGGCGTGACAACGGCTCTGGCTCTCTCTCTCTCTCTTTGTGGATCAATCTGAAACCCTAGCGCCGGTTCGTCCCACCGGAGCTAGAGTTTTCAATTTTTTTTTTTTTTTTTTTTTTTTTTTTTTGGGGGGTGTGTGTGTGGAGGTTTTCAGTGTTTTTTTTAATAAAAAAATAATAATTAATGAATAAAAAATAATAATTGATGCCAATTAATAATTTTAATTGACACTAATTAATTTATAATGAAAAAATGAAAAGAAATTATACTAATTGATACCATTAATAATTTTAGTATTAATTGATGCTTATTAAACCATTAATTGCCACTAATTAATTTATAATCAAAAAATGAAAAAAATTTGGAAAATTTACCCATAAGTCCTAGTTTCTGAAAAGTTGAACCATTTAGTCCTAAAAGTTTTCTTATGCTCCATTTAGTCCCATTTGCACATCAATCTAATGTTTGAAACATTAATCTGATGTTCGAAATCTAATGTTCGAAACATTAATCTGATGTTTGAAATCTAATGTTTGAAACATTGTAATGGGACCTTTCAGTTTATAAGAAAACTTTTAGGACTAAACAGTGTATAAGTTATTAATTTGGGATTTATTGGTGCATCCCCCAAAAAATTATACTAATTGATCCTATTAATAATTTTACTATTAATTGATGCTTATTAAACCATTAATTGCCACTAATTAATTTTAAATGAAAAAATGAAAAAAAATTATACTAATTGATATTATTAATAATTTTACTATTAATTGATGCTTATTGAACCATTAATTGCCACTAATTAATTTATAATGAAAAAATGAAAAAAAATTATACTAATTGATTTATAATGAAAAATTGGAAATAATAATTTATAATGAAAAAATGAAAATAAGCCATTAATTGACACTAACTAATTTATAATGAAAAAATGAAATAATTTTATACTAATTGATTTATAATGAAAAAATGAAGATAACAATTTATGAAATAATCATTTATGTAATACTAATTATATTAACTTTTATTAATGAAATAATTTTTTTTTTTAAAAATTAAAACTGACAAAATAATCATTTTTGTATTATATATAAGGGTAAAAAGGACAATTACACATCAAAAAATTATTTTATAGCTTATCAACCAAACACTACTCTGCTACTTAAATTCATAATCCCACAGCTACACCAAACAGGTTAACAGCTTATGTTCACATTTGTTAAGTTATAATCTATAATCACTTTTCCACAGCTATACCAAACGGGGCCTATGTTCTTTCCTTTAGAGGAGGATGATGTGCCACATTTTAAACAGTTGCTTCAAATAATGGGATTGTTTTGGGTGAGAGTGAGGGGCAAGAGGCACTCGGTAGAGAATGAGCAACTGGTGATCAAGGGAAAGGGCAATAGAAATAACGATGGTAGTATCAGCAAAGAATCCAAGGAGTTGAGGAATTTCGTGAGCGACATCAATTATGAAGGGTATGAATAAGAGGTTAGGGACGGTGATGTTGCTCAACGAAGATTGTAAGATGGAACTTTAGAGGGCTGCTATCTAGGAAAAAGAGGGGGGTTATTAAAGATTTCCTAAGACTGCATCAGCCGGATATCGTAATGTTTCAAGAATCAAAAATTGAGAAATGCAATAGGAGGTTTATTAAAAGCATTTAGGGATCTATGTTTCAGAAGTGGGCGATGTTGCCGTCATGCTGTACGTCAAGGGAAATATTTGATTTTATAGGACGAGAGAGTTGTTTCAAATTGTGAGACTATTTTAAGGGAATTCTCATTATTGATTAGGTTTAGGAATCTACACAACAAGGAGTGGTGGTTAACTGGGTGTACGGCCCTAATAGACCCAGTAGGAGAAACAAATAGTGAGAGGAGTTTAGTGGATTATATGGGATATGCTCTCCCAATTAGTGTGGGCGGGATGATTTTAATGTGGTTAGGTTAGTGTTGGAAAACTTAACGGGACTTCAATGAATAGATGTGAGAGATTTTGACTCCTTCACAAGAGAATGCAATCTAATTGATTCCCCTTTGGCTAATGCTAGATTCATTTGATCTAATCTTCAGGAAAGTTTGGCATGTAGTAGACTAGATTTTTTCTAGTTTTCTCTAGACTGGGAGAAGTTATTTCCAAACATAAGATGGGAGGTGCTCCCACGAATCATATCCAATCACTACCCTGTAGTGATCAATTGTCCTTTCAAATGGGATCCATCATCCTTTAGGCTTGAAAATATGTGGCCGGATGATCACTCTTTTAAGGAAAATTTTGAGATCTGGTGGAATAGTTGTAGGTGCCACCGTGCCACTACTAGAAAGTTGAATTTTGTAATAAGGCAATAAGGTGGAATATGAAGAGAAAATAGACACAGAAAAGAGAAAAGAAATAACACAAAAGTTTAACATGGTTCAGCCAATATTGACCTACATCCACACATACAAAGCCCTAGGGAGCTACATCTTTCATTCACTGAACTTGATACTCCTATTTACATGATACACCATATATATAGAGTGAGAGATACAATCAAATCTCTTCAGTTAAGGAATTGAAATAAATCAAAGATACAAAAGATCATAAAAAACACAAATCATGGGATCTGCATATATTGTAATATATTCCATATCTTTTGATATCATTGACAATATTATCTTGTCCCCAACACAAAGCTGGGAGGGTTTTAGGGTTATGAAGAAATTGAAGATGGTCAAGGAAAATTTGAAAGTGTATAATAAAGAGGTTTCATAATAATTCCAAGTTGTTTGATAGGATATATGGGAAAGGGAAAAATAAGTTAATTAAAAGGTTAGAGGTGGATAAAGGAGTATTTGTGGATAGAGGACCAAATTGTCAATGAGATTTTTATTTTTTACTCAAATCTTTTCACTGATAGAGGAATTGAGAGACCTAAAATTGATGGTCTTGATTGGATGTCTATCAATGAAGCTAAGACAAGTTGATTGGAGAGACCATTTGATGAGATAGAAATTAGAGAGGTAGTCTTTGACTGAGAGAGAAATAAAGCTCCTGGACCAGATAGGCTCTCTATGGCGGTCTTCCAAGACTATTGGGATGGGATGTAATGAAAGGTGATCTTGTGAATGTCTTCGCTGAATTTTATGAGAAGGGAGTGGTGAATCTGTGTACATATTCATCATTCATTTGCTTGATTCCTCAAAAAGAAAACTCAGTGAAGATTAGGGACTTTAGACCGATTAGTTTAGTCACATCTTTATGTAAGATTTTGGATTAGGTGTTAAAAAAAAAGATCAAGGACTATTTTGGGGAGACCACATCTTCGATTCAAAGCACCTTTGCGAAAGGAAGGCAAATTTTAGATATGGTTTTGGTGGCAAATGAAGAAGTGAAAGAGTATAGAAGTTTGAAGGAGGGTCTCATTTTTAAATTAGACTGCAAGAAAACGTATGATCATGTGGATTGGCAGTTTTTGGACTTTGTGATGTATAGAAAGAGATTTGGGGACAGTTGGAAATGGATTCGAGGGTGCTTGAATTCTTTTATATGTCAGTCATATTTAATTGGCATATGGGAAATCTTTTAAGGCTACTAGAAGGTTAAGGCAAGGTGACACATTATCTCTTTTCCTTTCTATCTTGTTGCAAATGTGTTGCAGAGGTTGATTGAGAGGGCTAGGCAGTGTGATTTAGTTGATGGTTTTGTAATAGGGAGGAATGAGATTTGTGTAACTATACTTAGCAAATAAAATTACCTGGATAGCCTCGAATGTTGTTGACAAGGAGCCAATGGGATTGTCAAGGGCATGAACAATTGCTCTCAATAAAGAATGGAAGCTTGGAGTCAAATATGATGCATCAAATTGCTGGATTGATATACACCACACTCCTAAATTACAAACAGACTGACAAACAGGGCAAACACGTTACAAAACCTCCAGATGCTACCCAAACAAAGCTATGGCAATTCACCACCAACTAACTATCAAAAATTTACCTTCATTCGGGTGGTTATGATGACTTTCGTCAATGAATCCACAATGAGATTGGCATCATCCCCTGCAATGCCCAAAACCACATCTTTAGTTTCGGAATTCTCTCTTCCCTTCGTCAATGCTGGTGAAATCAAACGATAAAGATGCCAATCATAAGAGCTTAAAACCCAAACCACTTCTAACTTCACTCTTCAAGCCCCTTGACATTTAACATTCACATGCATTTGAAACTTTCTAACATTACATATTCCAAATTAGTTTCTTTTCTTCTTGTTTAAGAAATGAATTTTGAATGTGTAGGGTCACTAAGTTGAAAGGGTGGACCAGGGTGCTACACAGCTGGTCATAAAGGACCTAGAAGGATTAATAGATGAGGGGTATCCACAGGAGCTCCCTCAAGTTGAGTGTGCACTCCAACAAAACAGATTAAGTTTTGGAAATAATCTTGGGAGCTCTTTGTTACTCCATGCTAAATATGCATAATTTGAAACAAAAAGAAAAAGAAAAATTAAGCACACCTTGTTTTAAATCACATCAATGAAGAGGGTATATAATAAATTCAATATATGCATGTCACTGTCTTTTGTTTTCTATTTTCTTATCTGTAATTCTCATTGCTAGAATTGTAATCAATTTATATATTTATACATATATTTACATTGCAATTTATGAATTTTTGATCCAGGGAATATAGTTATGAATGTTTTATCCAGAGAATACTACAACATGATCTTTTTAATAAAAATTAGCACTTAAATAATAAAGAGAGATTTGGCTGAAGGTTCGATTTTAGGGACTTATTTCAGCTTAGGTCTTAACCAAGTTATTTTTTAACCCAAAGTCCATTGTATTCCTTCATAGATATATATATACACACAGAGAGATCCGAGACCCAACAGCTCATGATGGCGACGTCTACATTCATTCATTTCATCATGGCAATCTCTATGGCAACGTCCTCACCATGGCAATCTATGTGGCACCTCAACAACCAAATCAGATTTCTTTCTCTTTTTTCCACTCCATTTCTTCATTCATTTAATCCATTTTCCCCCTAACATCTCCTTCTCTCCCTTTCTTCATTGTGTACTAGCTACCCCCACATCACCATGCTAGACTCGCAACTCGAGCTCCATAAATTTTTTTTCCTCTTCATCTCTTTTTCTTTCTTTCTTTTCATTTTTCTTCCTTATATAACCCTCCTTTCCTCATTCTCCTGAATATCGTAAATGTCTATACTCTGTAAATTGCTTATATATATATGGATGCTTGTTCTTCTTATTGTTTTTATGGCTCTGCCAGGTTTATCACTCTCAGTTTAGGAAATTGAAAGCCAACAGTTTAAATTGAGAAAGTCAAGTGTATGAATTGAGAAAATCCAAAGAACATGAAGCAAATATGATGGAGCAGTAAAAATTTTATTGAAACTGAAAATTTTCTTAGTTGCACTTACTATTTTCTAATTTTTTTTTATTGGGAAATGTTAACCATGTTGGCATATGTATAAAAAGTGTATTAAAATACGTAAAAAATGTTGGAAAAATATATATAGTGTATAAAAATATGTGAAATGTGTACTGAAATTCTAACTTTTTTGGTATTATTTGATTATTAACAAATGCCCAGTGGACAGTTGTTAGCAAGACCCATTTTACTTATCAATGAAAACTAAAATAAATGAAATCTCTGTTTTTCACACAAACACACATATAAACTGAGAAATTTCAAAAATTGAGAAATTTTATAGTTTTGAAATTTAATAATATAATTAAATATGGATCTTTATCGATAGATCTCAACGAATAGGTTCCAAAATATTAATTTTAGGGCGAATTACACCAATAGTTCCTTTAGTTTGGGGCTTGTGTCACTTTAGTCCCTGACTTTTCAATTGTAACACATTTGACCATGAATTTTGAACATTGTTCCAAATAAGGACAATAGATAACTTCCGTTAGTTTTTGGATGGAAATTCCTCACGTGCAGCACTTGCCAAGGGCAAAGCCGTCGTTTTGTCTTATTTCCCGCCCAAATAAATACCACCCTCTTTTCTGTCATGAAATTAGGGCAAGTCTAGCTTGTTTAGAGCAAAAAAAATGGGGCTTTCACCATTAAACACAAAGTTACAGTAGATTACGGTGGGAACTATTTAAGATCATCACAAAATTACAAGCAAACGTTGGTGTTGAAGATGGGTACCCAAAGAGTTGCGAATGACATCATCTCGCCGCAATACGGTATTTTTTTTTATTTTTTTATTTTTGTTGAAGTTTTGTTATTTTCGTTCATATTTTTGTGATCTAATATTTGTTACATTATTTTGGTTTACTTTTTTAAACTATTTTTTGTTTGGTGCAGTTTAATTTTGTTGATGTTTATTATATTATATATGTATACGAACACTGACATTGATATATATATTTTAGATGATATATATATATATGTGTGTGTGTGTGTGTGTGTGTGTTAATATGCCCATGTGTACTCCATTTGGAAGACAATGTTCTTTCTCTGAATGTGTGTGACTTTATTGGTTAATGTGTGCAGAAACAGAAGGATCCTTTTTCACCATAAAGTTTCACCATGGTGGGGCTTTTGGACGTGGGGACCATAGGGTCTACTTGGGAGGCCAAGTTTCTTACTTTGACTTTTGTAATGTGAACAAAATTAGCATGCTTGATATGAGGGATCTGGTTCAGAAAATAGGGTCTACTAGGTTTACAACCTACCAATATAAAGTACCTGGAGTGGATCTGAACAATGGGTTGAAGCATATATGGAATGATAGTGATCTACTAAACATGGTCGAATGGGTGAGGGGAACAACTAGAATTATAGAAGTATATCTGGTACATTATCCAGAACTTGATGATGATACATTCCTTGTGTTTGGTAATTCATGTTCTAATTCAGTATAACTGATTGAGGAGATTAATGAACCAGAGATTGATTTGCAACTAGGTTTTCACATTAATAGAGTAGAGGTTGAAGGGGGACATTTTGCAAGGGTAGAAGATGGAGAAGGACATGTTTTCAGGGCAGGGGCAAGGGCCAGAGCAAGGGTTGAAGGACATGCAACAAGGGGCAGGAATGGAATGGCCTAGGCAAGTCTTTGAGAATGAGATGCAAGGAGGTGGAAATGAAGATTTGCTAGAAGGGGATTTGGGTGAGGGTCAAATGCAGAGAGATGGTGGGTACATACACTCTGATAGTGAGACCACTGATTTGGAAGATTTTGAGGATAGTGAATATGATGATGGTGAAGAAGATGACCTTTTGTATGAAGCTAACATAGATAAAAATGTAGAGTGGGGTGGATTTCATGAAAGGGGCAAAGGTAACAATGTCGATGATTTTAATGCTACAATAGATGGTTTGAATTGGGATGAAAATGATGTGGAATCAGATGAATTGATCTCACTTGAGGGGTCATCTGATGAAGATGGTGGGCCCACGAGGGACAAGTTTCCTGAATTTAACAAGCACACTGACATGGTTGATCCTCAATTCCAAGTTGGCATGGTTTTTCCATCATCTAAAGTTTTTAAACAAGCTGTCAAAGAACATGCCATCAAGATTGGAAAAGATATAAAGTTCTTGAAAAATGATAAAAATAGGGTTAGGGCAGGTTGTAAACCTCCTTGTCAATGGATGATATATGCATCTAAGATGCATGGCCAAATGAGCTTGCAAGTGAAAACGTATGTGCCTACACATAATTGTGGTAGAATATTCTACAACAAAAATGTGAACTCCACTTGGTTGTCAAAAAAATATGTGGAAAGCATTAAGTCCAACCCCACATGGCCAATACAATCTTTTAAACAGTTTGTTCAAAAAGATCACAATGTTGGTGTTTCAAGAAGTCAATTGTATAGGGCAAAGAGAACGGCACAACAACTCATAGAAGGAAATTATAAGGAGCAATATGCTAAACTATGGGACTATTGTGAAGAGATTAGAAGAACAAATCCTGAGACAACCATTGTTATTAAGGTGCCAGATGATGTAGATGATGGAATTGATGAAGATGATGAAGATGGTGAGGATAAGTCCAGGTTTCAGAGAATATATGTGTTTAGGGGCTTGCAAGCAAGGGTTTTTGCTGGATGCAGGCCATTTATTGGGGTAGATGGCTGTCATCTTAAAGGTCCATACAAGGGAAAAATGCTTACTGCTGTTGGAATTGATGAGAATAACACCACCTTCCCTGTGGCATATGCTGTGGTTGAAGGAGAAACAAAGAGATCATGGAAATGGTTTTTGAACTATTACAAGAAGATCTTAGAATAGTAAACCACCAAGGATTTACTTTTATGCCTAACAAACAAAAGGTATGTTCAACAATATGCATACCATCTTATGAACTTTCTTTTGTTATGAAGTGTTTGCTCAATTTCCAATTGTGTTTGGTATGTTTATGCAATTTCAGGGTTTGATTCCAGCACTAGCAGAGGTCATTCCAAATGCCGAGCATAGATTCTGTGTAAGACACATGTACAACAACTTTCAAGATAATCACAAGGGTGTTCTTCTTAAAGATTTGCTATGGAGTGCAGCCAAAGCCTCTTATGTTCAACAGTTTGAATTTCATATGCAAGAAGAGGTTGATGAAGATGCATTTAAGTGGTTGGCTGAGAAACCAGCTAGCTTTTGGTCTAGATCTCACTTCATCACTCACAGTAAGTGTCACATGTTGCATAACAACAATTGTGAAAGTTTTAATTCTAGAATTTTGGATGCAAGATCTAAGACAATATTACCTATGTTGGAGGACATAAGGTGTATTCTAATGAGTAGAATGCAAAGGAGGAGGGAAGTCATGAGGGCATATCAAGGGCCTTTGTGCCCCAACATACAAAAAAAACTTGAGAAAAAGAAGGTGGAATCTAGTAGTTGCATTGCTATGTGGTCTGGGGCTTCTACATATCAAATAAATTGTTTCAATGGACAACAATTTGTGGTTGATCTAGAAGCTCATACTTGCTCTTGTAGGAAGTGGGATTTAAGTGGTATTCCTTGTCCTCATAGTATTTCAGCCATTTACTTTAAGCATGAAAATCCTAAAGACTATGTAGCACATTGGTACAGAAGGGAGACCTATATGGCTACTTATGGGCCCATTGTATACCCTATTAATGGTCCTCAAATGTGGCCAAAAATAGGCCTACCTCTACTTTTGCCTCCAAAAGTTAAGAAGCAGCCTG